TCCTCTGAAAAACTGTTAATGACAGATTACTTTCATGAAGCTTTCCTCACCCAAACTATTTGCTCACCACACCACAGCATGGAAGTAACACCCTTGCATCAAGTTTTATATTCTTTTCCCCTGAAGGGGCAAGATTTTGGATTTCAACTGGGAACAATTTTTTTTTACTTTGTGGAAATGATACATGTTATTGATTTTTATTGTTGGACATACATGTATTGTTTGATGAACAAATTGATGACAGAAAGATGTAAGTTATCATGGTTCAATGGATGGACTAACTAGTTGATTGATTGATGGAATGGAATGGAATGGTATAAAATATACCTGGACCAGAAACTGGGTCTGATGCCTCCTCAGAGACCTCCCTTTTTTTCTTCACAACAATATTAACATTGCTTGGGCTAGGAGCTGTTCGTTTCCTATTTCTGATGAAATCTCCTTGAAGCTCAATTTCTTTGGCAGAAGGCTCTTGTTCAGTCTCTTTATACTGATGAACATCAGATTTTTCACTTCTCTGGTCAATTAGTCTTGCTCCTAAGCCTGCAGATAGAGTATTAAGAAAAGTAAATCCAAAAGTTTAGGAGGTTGCCTTCAAAATGGCATTTTCTGTGGGGTACAAGCATAACAATTCATATTGTTTCATTTTAGCAGTCAAGGAAAAATATGGCTCTCTGACTGTCTTGGAACTTGAATTGCTAGAATGATTATCCACTTGTTACTTTGTTAACTTAATTTTAGAGCTGCAAAAAAATGAACCCAGGATCTGGAGAAAAGCATAAGATGCCTGATGATTTTTTATTTTTGCAAAATGACTTTGATAAAGGTTTGGTAAAGTCACATTGATTGTGGACAACTGAGTGGCTCTTACCACTGGATGAACATGCCCCTCCATTCTCAGGTTCTGAATTCGAAGTTTGCTTGTTTCCTGAAGTAAAGATTAGAATGCATCTACCGGTAAATAGGGTAGTCTCATATTGAATGGTCACAAACTACAATTTATGGCCAGCACTATTTTTAATAACAGTTACTGAATAGTATGGCTATTACTACCAACTTGTAGCCTTGGATTACCAGTTCTCTTAATTGTAAATTTGTCACATTCACTGTCCCTATAGCATTTAGAAACAACTGCTAACTGGTAAATTGAATATTTAATGCAGAACATGTGAGTTTTGTCATTATTTCAAATTTGATTAAAACTTCTGCATCTCTGATGTAAGATGAGAAAACTTACCAAATGCAAGATTGTACATCTTTTCAACAAGGAAATCACAAGGCTTCTCCCAGCTGAACTGCTGCAAATAATTTTCACGAAGAATCTTAGCCTCTGCAAGTCGTACATTCCTTTTCCTGTTACACACAGCCTTTATTGCTCTGGCCCAGTCTGCAGGATCCTCTGAATCCACTATACA